AAAAAACACACCAAGACATTCCAGAAACTTGAACGCTGCTATTCTGTTTTAACGAGTCTCATCAATAAAACACACCACTGATGAGACTCGTTAAAACAGAATAGCAGCGCTCAAGTTTCTGGAATGTAAAAAACGCACCATTGATGAGACTCGTTAAAACAGAATAGCAGCGTTCAATTTTCTGGAATGTAAAAAACACACCACTGTTTCAAGCATCTTCCATTACAGATATCATGTTCACTAAAATTATAAAGAGTGAAGTAAAATACATTTGCTAATAATTATTTCTTTTACTAACACTTACTTTGAATTTTCTCAGGTATTACTTCTGTCAACACCAAATTATTTTCATATCACTTGTAAGGAATTTTGTATATGTATCTTGTGGTTGGGGGTGCTTGGCACAGGACAGTAAATTTTTTCGATCTCTTGACTAACATCTTTCAATATTTAAATTTTATTATAATAACCAGTATATTTAAATTCAATTAGAAAAAACAAATGTATAAAATTATTACTAGTTTATTAAACTTCTACAACTAGTTACTCCTTGTTCAGCACTTTTTTTTTAATGTTTTCCAAAATTAGTTTGTACAAGCTGAGGTACTCGTCCTTTGTTCGGGTTATGAACTTAAAAAACTGTGTAAAGATGGCTTCTATGATAAATGATGCAAAAATCATAACTTTTACACAATTTATTTACAATATAACATACTATTAAAGTAGTCATTATTACTTCACCAAAAGTTTTAAGAACTCATTCTATATATACTTAAAACATGGTATACACTGTGCGATGGTCAGGGTGCTTTCAACACCCACCTATTAATGTCCTTCCACACTGTTTCACATTAATTAATTAACTGATGGTCATTGACCAGGGAAGAGTCTTATGGAATGAAGTTGTAAGGTCATGGGTCAATGTAAGAAGTGAGTATAACTCAAGAAACGGCTCTTCATATCAGCATTATGGTGGCTGTTGTTGTATCAACTTCATCCGAGTTTATGTGTTATTGCAATAGTGGCGGCCATTTTCTTTCATTTCATTCCTCCACAGAATGCTAGTGCACTCTCAGAGATATATACACTGTGTGTATGATGTGTTATAGAAAATTTAATGTGTATGTGTGTATTTTTTCTTATAACAAAGCCACACTGGGCTATCTGGTGTGTCCACCGAGAGGAACTGAACCCATAATTTTGGCATTGTAAATCTGAAGACTTACCGCTGTCCCACCAGGGGATGGAAATTTAATAAATTCTTTTTTGTTTGGTGTAAGAATGTGGCGCTATCCATAAATGTAGTTAAAGATGCTCAATAACATCAATAATGGAGGTGGAGAGGTTGTGAACACTCCATTAACATGCCCCTTGTTTAAAACTATCCTTCCACAAAGTTTGGTTAAGACTGGCCCAGCAACCTAGGAGTAGTTGGATAAGGGACAAATAGACAGACAGACACAGATTTTTGTGCTTTATATATATAGATGATTACTGAAATTCAAATAACTTACAATACAGTAACGTGGAAATATCATTAAAAAAATTACAGTTATAGTATGTGCATTTCACATTATCACCATTAAACTGAAATGATCTTCTGCAATAACATATCCAACAGATACATAGTGAAACACAGACACTTTCATCTAGACCAGCATTTCCAAAACCTTTTCATTAAAATGGACTGGTTGGCTGCCTCCATAAATTGTTGTAATGAAAACCCTTACTATATACATATGAATATTCTGCCAATTCTTTTTTGTTTTTGTGACCAGCACGGCGGTAGCGACAGAGCAGTGATGGTCCACAGACAGGTAGTTCAGAAAAAACAACTTAGATCAAAAAAATATTGAAACAAATTTACAATTAAAATCAAAGATTGATACTCTCCTGATATTTAAAAAGAAACAGGATCAATGGAAAAAATGAAATCCAATTACTTGTGAGCTTTTGGAAGATAAACGATGAAGGAAAGTCTACTTTCTGAAAGCTCTCGGGTTATTGGATTCCTTTTCTAATAAATATCCTGTGAAAATTACTAATTAAGTATACAAATACCCAAAAGAATTTTATGAGATAAAAAACTTCTTCTTTGTATAATTCCAACAACTAATACTTTATTTATTATTCATACTAGTATACTTGCTTTTTTTTTACCTTTAAATATAAAACTTATAAACACAACAAAGCATGATTTTGTTCTTCAACACTGTCACTGCAAACCCATCACAGAGAAATTAAATCCACACCCCCTTTTTTTTTTGAAATTACCATCTTACACCCAAGAAAGATGCTGATGGCCAATACTACCAATAGCAACTCATTCCATAAGTAAATCAACCAATTAGAAAATTAAAACTGGTTCACAAATATTATACTTGTGTCATCTCATCCTATTGTTTCAAAATACAGCACAGATAAATCAGAGGCACTTATCATATCAACCCCTGGAAAATCTTTAAGTTTCAATAAGATCACTTCTTAACCCTTTTTTCTCAAGAGAAAATATGTAAAGAGTTCTTAACCAATCTCTATAACAGGGATAGCAAATATATTTTAATGGATGTGCCATAATAAAAATAAAATGTTATATAGTTTCAAGTGTACCATATATTTATATATATATATATATATCGTTTATTTTATCTAAACCAAATATTAATAAAACTTAAATGAAAAGAAAATTTAAAATCTCAACATTTCCAATTTAATTTTGCATTTGGAAAAAAACTGGTTGGTAAATTCACAAATGATTTTTCAGAAATTGATGTCACATTTTCTTTTGTTTTTACCTGGTACGAGTTGGTAAGAATGGGTTAAATATAAAATGAATGTACGATACACCACTGTCATTCATGTCAGTTGTGCTCATTAGGGAAAAACAAAATATGGCACTGCACGTGCACACTAAAGCAAGATCAGCAGGTCTTGCCAAGTTTATTAAACTTGGTGTGATTCAGAGTGAACCAAGGCTGAGTTTCAAGTAGTAAGGATTAAAACTAAAAATATAAACACCTTCATTCCTTTTTTAGAAAGTTTCCTTCATTATCGTTAAGTTAGAGTGTCCCAATAAAATGTCATTTCATGCCCTATGAGATAATCCTTCCATCCCTAGAAACATCCAAGTAGCCCTTCTACAAATCCATTTCCATGAAGTTAATATCCTTTATTAGATAAGGAGACCAAAACTGTACACAGTGTTCCGAGTGAGGCCTAACTAGTGATTCTTCTATGGAGAAATAACTGGTACATTCTCAAAAATAAAATTACAAATTATGTTACAGGAACCCATTTAAATTTACATTCTTTGCATGTGTTTTAATGAATTAACACAGACACACAGCGAAACTTTAACAGAATTTAAAATATCATCACATGCTAAATCAGAAAAAAAAACAAAAAAACACAAGATGAGTTAAAAACGTAGAAAGTTTTAAGCAATGCAAAAATAAGTTTTAAAAAAAATTGTTGTTTTTGTAGTTTCTTCATTTAATTTCTCCAGTATTCAGTCTATTCCTCTTTGATAATAGTTATTACTAGGTTTAGCCTGTACAATGTAATTTGATAAAAAGGAACATGTTAATATATATGTGTCATTTGTTTTTAACAACACACAGTTAAAAGCTGAGAAATCATATGGTTTTTAAATTTCACGAACTTTAATTAAATTCTACATTTTTTTACGTTTTCCTCTGATTTGAAACTTTGTACATGAAAGATTTTTATTCTACTGCAAGAAAGGTATATTTTAAAAGTTGCATTTCACTTAAAGTAATACCAAGCTGCAACTTCACAAGATAATTTGCATTTAGTGCTTTTACAGTGGTAACAATTTAATTTTGTATTTAATATTTTAAAACAAAACATTATTTATAATATGCATATAATTAGTTTTCAAAATAGAAACTATCAGATTCATAGAATATATTTGCATATCAACAGTCTGGGGGCTTGCATAACTCAAGTTCAACATCAAGTGTTCTAGAAGCGCCATCTAACGTGTACTTTTAGAAATTTAATGCAACTTTCCTATTCTTTGTGCAATGCAAAAAAATATCCTACACACTTAACGTTAACGTCACTGAGCACTTGAATTTGAAATGTGCAAAGAATAACTATAATAAAAAACAAAACTCTAAGTTACCTCATCTAATTCGTCTTTAGCTTCTACAACAGTATGATAAAACAGTAATGAAGAGTTGTTCTTGCTAGTTTCCATCTTCTACGCTCAATTATTCAAACACCCAACAACCACACACCATCCTTCACAAGGATAGCGCCATGTTTGCGGATTGATATAGTGATAAACACGTTGTAGAGGTACTATATTTCGTCACGCCCTTTACTATCTTTTTTAGTTATATTTGAACACTTATTATGGAATTTTTTTCAATTTATCAAATTAATTTTATTTGTTTTGCAGAGTATAGTAGAAATTTTTTAACTACTTTGTCTTAGGAATTTAGAATGAGTACCGGAAGTCGTAAGGAAATAAAACCAAACAATATCCTCTTTCACTGACCCCTTGAAAGTGAATAAAAATTCAAATTTATTTTAAACATTTTATTTTTTGTCACTATAAAATATATTTCAAACTTTATATTAACAACTGTGAAAAATTTGTTGTTTAAAATTAGATTTTATTCATAAATTTTCTTCGGCACTGCTCGTATTCTGTATCCGGTTCCGATAAAGTAGCTAACGTTGAACTTGAATGTTCGGAAATGTTTGATGGTTTCATCAGATTTGAATATAAACTCCAAAGTTGAAGGTATATATTATAAAAGAGAAACTATTGATTCAGTGAAACTAGAAGTATCGAACTTTTAACGTAACGTAAAAGTTGTAAGTAAAATAATTTAGTATTTCATTCTCTCTGATTTATAAATGATATAGGTAGAAACAATAATATTAATAACCCTTGTACAAACTTACTAAGTTGTAGTTGTACTGTGTTAGTGTTACTACTGTTAGTACAAAAAATATATTCTGTACTCTTTACAGTTTACTGTAGTACTAGTACTACTTACATATGTAATTTTGCATATTTTCATGCTCAAAAGAATATAAGGTGTTTTCAGTTGTATTATTTCAGAATAACTGAAAACCGTTTTCCTACATATGCTGTGAACTTGTGAAGGAACATTTTCAGATAATAAACTGAAACTCTTGCTTCTATTTATTAATAATTGAAATTAAATTTTTCCATTCTGTTGAAAATTTGGAAGTATTGGTTGAATGTGGTAGAAATCATGTAATATTCCCAGGAAATATATTTTTTTTGTAAGTCTTAAATAGGCATTGAACAGCAAAATCTTGGATTTTTAGATATTAGATAGTGAACAAAAGTACCTTGCCATTATTTGTGTACCTAATATTAGCTCATTCACCATGAAAGATACATACAGGGGTATAGTACAGAAGTGTAAAATAAATGCTGGACCATTTAGAGGAAGAATAAGATGCACAAGTAAGTATGTGTGTGTGATGAAACTTTGATGAATGGACGGCAACTGCCTGTTGTAGAAACACAAGTGTAGAGGACGATGTTTCAAAAGTCTTCCTCCTTTCGTCTTCAGGTCAAAGAAGTACATGTGTATTGAAACACAGTTAGGTTGTCGTATCTGTTCGTAATGTTATGTTTTTGTTTCCTGGTATTTTTTACAAGAGTTAAAGCTCTCCTCCTCTCAACACTTAAGGTATGGATACAGAATAGAAATTAACTGTAATAAATATTGATTGATATAATTTAAAATGTATACTATATAGAATAGTATTATTTTGAGTACCTTATATTTATTTTGATAGTTAACATAAATGTTTACAAACACATGCTTAATAGAAAACATACAGTTAATTGGCCAAAGATAACCTGCTTATATTTGTAGATCTCTCCTCACCATCATTAAATATGTGAAACACAATCGCGGTGTATTGAATTTTTACAGTCTCTTCTGTTTATAAGCCGCTATGTCCCTAAAAGAACTTGTAGAACAAGGCAGGTGAAAAGTCATTTGGCCCAATAATTTCTTATGACATTGGATTTTATTGAACATGTGTTAAAGTATTCCTCTTTCTGTTTTCAGATTTGCTGTTAGAGAAGTAAGTAAAATGGGTGATGCATTAATTCAAGAAACTGCGAAACTAACAGTAGCAGGTAAAAACTTGTGATGTTGATTTTATATAAAATGTGTTTGAGAATTAACCAGTTTATACATGTTAGAAGAATGTGTAAAGTGTGGGTTAATGTTGAGAAACTTGACAGTACAATTTCAATTTACCAAATATTTGAAGCTATAAATAGTTTTATCTCCTGGTTTAAACTATCTTTTTAAAGAAAAATAATGTTGTAAATATTTTAAGAGATGAACAGTTTAAGTATTACATGGTTATTTTTTAATTCAGGTCAGATTTACACATCAGAGAAAATAGGTAGCGATGAACATGGTAATGGTTCTGAACAAAAGCCATTTAAAACAATTCTTAAAGTAAGTGGTTTTTCTTCTTTTTATGTGTGTATCAGTTAATGCAGCTTCTAGTACCAAATTAATTCCTTCAAAACAGAAAATGTTCATTTGACAAAATATGATTAGATCAGTAAAGATTATACCCTCCCCCACAAAAAAAATCTATATTGAATATATAGCTTTTCACTGCTATATACTTCTACAGCAAAGTTTTAAAATAATTCAATCTAGCAGCTCATACCATTTAACCAAAGAAAAAGATTGGGTTGATACAACAAAAGCTTTAATCTGTTATCCTAATATTTAGCCATGTAATTCTAATCTTTCATTTTTTATCCTAGATAGATAACTCGTACGAAGACATTCTGTAAAACTTCTTCACCATTACAAACTCCTGAAAAAGTCTTGATGAATTTTTATGTCCTTTGTAGGAAACAAGCCCAAAACTCTCAAGTGTCTCCTGATAGTTTAAATTACTTAGGAAAGTATCACAGTAATTATATCAAAACCGCACTCAGTATTCTGGGTTTCACCGAATTCTTTTACGAGACTACGATAACCTTTTTGTGCTTTAATTATAAAAATGTACTTTAGATCCAACAAAAAACTTTACACAAATGAATAATTTTTTTATGGAAATCAAGCCAAGTTATTCAATGTTTATTCCTACTAATCTATATATATTTGCGGTTAATCTGGCAACTAGCACGTAGGATCATGGAGAAAGCAATGGATGGCAAAAATTAAGACATCTTACTGTCAATTAAGACGTAACAGATTATTAATATGGTCAGGAAATTTTGTTTCAACTTTTATTTTATTTTGTTTTTGAAATGTAGGTTTTGTGGAATATGTTGGATCATAAAAAATTAACACCTAAACCGTAACTATGTTTTTTATTTAATTTAATTTAGTATTTAAACATTATCTTTGAAAATTATCTCAAGAATATTTCTTCAAATTTGTAACACTTTTTTTTCTTACTCTCAGGCCATGCACCACGCTGGAAAAGAACCATTTCCATCTATTTATGTTGATTCAAAAAGTGATGAACAGGTGAGTAACATTAGGAAAACTTATCATAAATACCATTGTTACAGCATATTTTGAAGTAATACAAGTTAACTATTCAAGTAAGAACTGGAAACATTTAAAAATAAGGAATTGCAGTAAATTATGCTTTGCTGTAGTAAAATGGACCCATGACTATATGTAAACTCTTCAGACACTTTAATTAATGATATGTAAATATTTTTTCAGCGATGGGAACTAGCTTCCCAGTCTCAGATTAAGAAAATTAAAAAGATTTGGGTTCGAGAGCAACATAAGAATGCTGAAAAAGAAAGGAAAGAAGCAGAAGATGCTGAAAAGAGGGAAAAAAACTTGGAAGAAGCCAAGAAAATTATAATTAAACCAGATCCTTCTCTCCCAGAACCATCCCAAGTATATCATTAATTAACTATTTTTGTTAATTATATTTATGTTTGTAAAGAATTGTACGTAGATTTGATATTGAAACATTAATATAATGACACAAATGTCCTGTTAAAAGTGGTTAATAAGTATGGTGAAATAATACTAAATCTAGGCTTAAGAAGTAGTTTTTTTTTAAATTTGGAAATGAAATGCGACTCTTTGTTTTTTTTAGGGACAGATATGGATAATATTTAAATTATTGCATTCTCTTAAGGGCTGCTAAATAAATTTACAAGTTCTTAATGAAAAAATGTTCCGCTGAACACTAATACAAGTATTGGCGTACAATAATGGTATCAATGCCAGTTTAGTGTTACCATAGACCAGGCTTAAAAACATTCATCAAATGAAGTTCGTGGAAAAGAATATTCTGAGGTAATTTTTATGTATAACTAAAGTTAATCTTCTGCAAACAAAATAAAAAATTAGTATATTAAAACATCTAAGGTGCTTAGAAAGTTGGTAGGACCAACCAAAAATTGTGGGGGTGCCTATCATATTGTATGGCTGAGGGGCACTTATTACCCACTTGTTTTATATCAAGTAATACTGGTGAAGCAAACAGTAATTTGGAAACATACTTTTTGTGCTAAATAAAACTATTGAATGCATTCCTTCATTTATTTCTCAATGTCGTGTACATTCATCTTTGACATGCTAATGTGGACAATTAATTCATTGTACTTGTGGTAATATATGTTTTAAATGTCACTAACAAGACTTTAAGTGTATGTCAATATTATTGGGAAAAAAATTAATGAGGTAAGTACACGTAACACTTTATATACAACTGTTTTTAAAAGACTACAAGATTCTCATGAGGTGAAGAAGAGCAGTTTTTATAAAAACAAACACTGTTGTATTGTAGATATAAAAACAAACACTGTTGTATTGTAGATATGAACTGCTTGATTAACAATTATGATCTTTATACATATGAAGTAAAGTTTGATTTGAACTTATCAAAGTAGTGTCTTGTGACTTTTTTTTCCATAAATCTTTCTAGGTTTTCCTGTATTTAAAGATATTGAACACATCTGAATAGTGGACAATTAGTTGAATTTTTTTTGTGTTTATTATTTTGTACTTACTTTTATCTGCTGATATAATTAATTTTGACAGCATTCTTGTTCTGGTTAATACTTTGTCATTTGAAAGTTTTTATAATATTTTTCAGATAAAAATTCGAGATGCAAAATCGTATCGTGATAAGAGGGTTAAGGTTTATGGATGGGCTCACCATTTGAGACGTCAAGGTTAGACTTTATAATTTTTAGTTCAATTCATGGTTAGGTTTTAGATACTAAATTATTCAGCTTAATATCGACAGTGTTTTTAGCAAGAAATTGTTAGGAGAATTTTTAATTTAATACTTCTAAATAATCTGTATTGCATGTATGGTTCTTTGACATAAAACTATCACTAAAACAGTTTTAAGTAACTCTTTTGCTGATCTCAATCTGTATTGCCTTATATTATGATGAGCTGTGTTTAGATATGATTTTGTTAATTTTTCCCTTCCAAATGAACCATTTATGTGCGTTCAGACACGCTTATTGATAGGACTAATTTTTAGTATGACATTTATGGAAACATTTTAAAGTATTTTATTAAATTGTAATTTAAAATGATTTTAGTTATGAGTAAACTGGAATGGACAGTAACTGCCTGTGAAAAAACACAAATGTAGAGGACGATGTTTCCAAAGTCTTCCGCCTTTTGTCTTCAGGTCAGTGTGGTCGATTTTTATAGTATTCTGGTGGATTGTGGAGGACGTGTTGTGATTGGTTTGTTTATCCCTAGTTCTTATTGGTGGAAAAACTGCATGACACTTCAACTAATGGTAACCATAGCTTGCTCACCTCTAATCCTGAATCTTTGTTTAGTGAAAGCATTGTTGATTTAATGTAGACAGATTCTTTAATTTTTCTTGTTTTCCAAAATTTGTCTGTGTCGATAATTTTGTTTATTTTGTGTCTAGTTGACATGGTGTTTTCTGCAATGGCTGAATTTTTTATTTTCATGAGTCTTGTACTGTCTTTATGTTCTTTTATTCTTGTCGCGAGTCTTCTTCCTGTGTCTCCAACGTATGTCTTGTTTCAGGAACACAACACTTTTTTGTGAGATTATTGATTGTTGACAGTGTTTGGATAATACAACACACTTTGTTGTGTGATTGTTGACAGTTTTTGGATAACACAACACACTTTGTTGTGTGATTGTTGATAGTTTTTGGATAACACAACACACTTTGTTGTGTGATTGTTGACAGTTTTTGGATAACACAGTATGCTTTATTGTGGGATTGTTGACAGTGTTTGATTTAATTCATAAAAGTGAACTCAAGTCATTGTTATCATTGTGACTAGAATATTTTGACAGTTTGTTATTTAAAAATAAAATAAACATGGATACATATTTTATTATCTAGTTGAACAGAATACTGATAAGCTTTGTTCTCATTTCTCCTTTGATCTTACACTTGGCTCGACTCATTCAGTACAATGTATCCTAGACACATTTTGTTTAACTTTGCGGTAATTTGAGACACACATTTTCTGTACCTTGTTATGAAACTATATGTTTACAGTAGTCCTAATTTAAAACTTGAAACTTTTCAGGTAAGGTACTGATGTTTATTGTCCTCAGAGATGGAACTGGCTTTCTTCAGTGTGTGCTGACTGATTCATTGGTAAGAAAGTTAATTACAAATCATAACAAGCTTTTATTTTCACTAATGTAACATATAAACTAATGCAAGGGGTGTTTAGAAAGAAACAGTTTTACTACATGTAGACCACCTATATAAAGTTACAATCAGCAAAACTAATTATTATATAATACTGACACAAAATAAATTGGTACAGTAAAACATTTTAGTATGAAAACAAGATCATAGGTGGCTCCATAAAGTTATACTTTGTTTTAAACATCTGTACCAATTGACATAGCTGTAGGTTGTATGTTTATCCCGCCAGCTCTGTATATACCATATTTCAGCAGTATAAGGACTTGACACAATTTTTTTTAAATTTTAAGTGATTACAGTCACTGTATTAAAATAATTTAACATTATAGAATATATTAACATAGTTTAATATAATTGTTGTGTTATATTTAAATGTATGTATATATACTGGTTGAGTCATTTGTATTTTTATTTTTTTCTAGTGTCAGACATATAATGCACTAATCCTTGCAACAGAAGCGACGGTGTGTATATATGGAGTTCTCAAAGAAGTTCCTGATGGGAAAATAGTAGGTGGTCACCGTTTGTTTTCTTTAACATCCTGAAATTAATTATTATTTTTAATTAATAAATATTTTATGTACATTGTATATTTCCGGGACTTGTGCTGTATTTGAAGTACATATTGTATAGTAAATATTTCTTGGATCTATGTTACACTTTGAATATTTCCCATACTTTACCTCTGCTTTTCTGTTTTATATTATCACGACCTTTATGAAATTCTCTGCTTTTCCTATAACAAAAAGTGAGAAATATAAAATCATTTTGTGTCATAATATATATATATTTCAGAGTGTATTCCAGAAATACAAGAACTGTCTAATTGATTTAACATGATTATAACATTTGTAAGTAAACTACTTATCTAATTCTGGTTTGTATTCGTGAAGTCCAGTTTGAAACTAACAGACAAACTTATGTAGAAAAAAACCAGGAAGATGATTTATATTTATTGTTTACTAAATCATAATAACATTTTCTTTTTAAGGCACCTGGTGGTCATGAACTACAATGTGATTACTGGGAATTGATTGGAGAATCTCCATCTGGTGGTTTGGAGAATGTAATAAACGAGGTAATGTAGAGAACTCCAGATTGTACAAATAATAATCATAGTTACACCAACTGTTCAGTAATGAATGATGAGATGTTATATATATATAGTTGAAAACATTGTTAATACCACAGATATCAAGTTTGCCCCTGAAGAAGAAAGGTCCACTTTTCAAAAGCGCTCGAGTTATTGGGTTTTTTTTTAAGACTTCTTGAACCTAAGTGTTTTTTTTTAACATCATGAAAGATATCCAACTGATAATTCATTGCACCGTAATCAATATGAGTTTTTGTTTTCCTGACCAACTGATTTACAATATTTATTAAATCTAGTTAGTTTATTAATTTTCAGTTAGTTTTTGTTCTAATTACGTTTGTTTTTTTGATGAGATATTCTTGATAGAATAGACATAATCATAACGAGTCTTAAATAGATAATATCTCAAGACAATAATGAGAGAAATTGTATTTTTTTTTAAAGAAACTAGGCATAACGGAGTGAATTATAGGTAAACAAATCTTATACAAGCTTTTATAATCTTTAAAAGAGAAATTGTAATTTTTTTTAAAGAAACTAGGCATAACGGAGTGAATTATAGGTAAACAAATCTTGTACAAGCTTTTATAATCTTTAAAAGAGAAATTGTTTGTTTCAAGTTTTAGTAATTATATCTAAACTCTTTTCAAAGTATAAAATTGAAAATATTTTTATATTCTACCTATTTAAGTAACAAATATTCAGTTTTTTTAAGATTTTGTTTTCTGTTAGGAATCCCATGTTGATGTTCAGTTGGATCAAAGACATTTGATGCTACGAGGGGAAACAGTAAGTTTCAAAACTTCACGAAAATATTTAATTTTTTACTGATAATATTATAAGGAAAGGCAGTAAGTTTCAAAACTTCACGAAAGTATTTATTTTTTTTTCTGATAATATTATAAGGAAAGGCAGTAAGTTTCAAAACTTCACGAAAGTATTTAATTTTTATACTGATAATATTATAAGGAAAGGCAGTAAGTTTCAAAACTTCACGAAAGTATTTAATTTTTATACTGATAATATTATAAGGAAAGGCAGTAAGTTTCAAATTTGACAAGTTTACAGCTCTGTAGGGTCTTTGTTTTGTGGAGAAAAAAAAATACATGTTATTTTGTTGGTTATAAGTTAAAACAGCAAGATAGGCACTAACATTTTCTAATTTCTTTAAAGTCAGTCTTAAGTCCAACAGTTCGGAAGAAACTGTGCTCCTTGGTTGAAGTGTTTTTAATTTGTGGTGAATTGATAAAAGGAAAACAACAGTGTGAAAAATGTTGAAAAATTAGTTTACAACTAAGGCCTTCGTTACTGCATTTAATATAATTCATTCTTGAAGTTTTTACATAACATACTTCAAATATTTTATAAACCTAGTTGTGTCATTCCTATAAAAAATCCAGGCTTTCGTTATTACTGAATACTTACTTTAAGTAACATTTCTTTTTATAGCTGTCCAACATCATGAGAGTACGCTCAATGGTAATGCACTGTTTCAGAGAACACTATTTTAGCCGAGGATATGTGGAGGTAACGCCACCTACCTTAGTTCAGGCTCAAGTTGAAGGAGGTGCTACATTATTTAAACTAGATTACTTTGGACAAGAAGTAAGTATACTTTTTGACCAATGTTTTTTGGGTAGTTTCCGAAAACAGGCTCACTCTTTGCACAAAAATGCTACAAATAATTTACTATGTAAAATGTTTTCAAACAAAAAATAGTTTAATTTTTTATCATTTGACATTTTGGGTCATATTCAGTTTATTGAGGCACAGAAGGAGGGGCAACATGACCCCCCAACCTCCAAGAAGTTTAGAAGAACCTGGTGATTAAATGCTAAATTTATGTTTTATTGTATGTGTTGTACAGCTACAGTACAATCTAATTCCAGTCCACATATTATTGCATTTTCACTTTATACAAATTCTACAACTTGTTAAATCTATCAGTCCATAGACTTTTGTAAGAATTTACTCCCACTACAAATGGCATTGATGTGTTTTATTTAATGTTTACTGACAGAAACAAACATCAAGAAGCTAGATAACTTGGTTTATGTGGAAACGGAAATAATTATATGACTTTGAATCTTTTTTGTATGAGTACTTTTCTGTATAAATTAATTGATTGAGTGCTGTAAAAGTTGATGGAAAAGATTAATTCTATTTAACAGTGTTAGATATACATGTATTTTCCAGTAGAAGAGTCACAGTGGTGAGGTAGAGTGTTCATTAGATGAACCTGATTGGAAAACTTGTTCATGTTTTGAAGCTCTTTGAATGAATCTAAATCAGACTATACTATTTGCACTGATATGTTAATTTCTTCACCAGTTTTCATCGACAGCTACTTATTAGTAGCTCTGTCTTTCAAGTAACACGAAAAACAAACAGGTGCAGCTGTACGATGATAAAACCTAAAAATACTAAGAAATTATTGAAGTCACTGAGATGGTATGAGAAATATGTGTTCAGTTTGTTTACCAAATATCCATCATTGGGATGTGTTCTTTTAAAATCTAATTAGGATGAAGATTCTATGGGCAAAATGTTGACCACACTTGTGTTCAGTTTGTTTGTCAAATGCTCGTCATTGGGATGTGTTCTTTTAAAATCTAATTAGGATGAAGATTGTATGGGCAAAATGTTGACCACACTCGTGTTCAGTTTGTTTGTCAAATGCTCGTCATTGGGATGTGTTCTTTTAAAATCTAATTAGGATGAAGATTGTATGGGCAAAATGTTGACCACACTCGTGTT